CCATCAGCTTTCTTCGCCACATTTGCTTATGCACCCATTTGTCTTCAACGATTGTGTGAGCACACAATGATATGATTTTTTGTTCTTTGATGCCTGGTACCTGATCCTTTCGACACCTCGTAATCACGCAGGCTGGTGTGCTTCCTCCATCTGTGCTCATTTCTGAAGGGAGAAGGCTGCATAGTGGCTAACGGATGGCAACGTTGGCCTCAGACGGGTCTTCCCATGTAGTACACAGGACCCTGGCTGTGACCCAGTAGATGGGATCAAATGCCACCAGCAAGGGCTCACCAGGGCTCACCTCCATATTCCGCCAGGTTGTGAGTCAGAAATCTGAACGATGAAAAATGGCTTTCCAAACCAAAGGAAATGCAGAGCAGCTGACGGTGCTCGTCTGCAGCTCCAGAGATTGTAAGGGGGTTATCTGGGGAGAGGGTGCAAGAACAGCCTGGAGTGAGCGCCTGCTCACGAGGCACCGAGTCAGCGCCAAGACCGGTGGGCAGGGATGGCAGGGGATGACCCCTCATTGAGAAGTGGGGCACTCCCCCCCACCCAGCCCTGGCCAGGATGCTCTGCTAGCTGTACCAGCAGGAGAGCACAGCAGCAGGCACTGCAAGGATCCAGGCGAGTTCCCAGCCCCCCCCCCCCATACCTCCATTCCCTCTGTTCCAAGCAGACAGAGGCACAGACTGCAGGCAGCTGTGTTGCATGTGACTGCAGGATGCCTGCCGCTGCAGAACCTGCTGAAGGACAGGGCTGCACTCACAGAGGTCAAGGGTGCTGTGGCCAGTGTGCAGGGCCACACTCAGGGAGTCGTGGCCATCTCTCAGGGCCCACTCCGTTCCAGATTCTGACTCTCCCCCTGCCACTGAAATCCCAGCTGAGATTTTATGTTTGGGTGCAAAACGGCTACAGAAGCCAAGCTGGCTTCTTTGTACAGGTCCAATGAATGGATCAGCTTCCAGCTGGCTCAGCCGTCCCTCCAATGTTGCAGTTCTCCCTCCTCTGCCCCTTCGCACAAGCAAACGGATGGAGAAGGTGGGTGGGTGGAGGGCTAAACGGCTAGGAAATCACTCAGAGCCTCATTTCTCACCACCACTTCATCTGCTGGTGGTGGCAGTTTGGGTATTAACATTACCAAGTCCCACCGGGGATTGGCAGTGCCTTCTTAACTAACAGAGGCAGAACTCCAGGTGCCTTGAGGACGAATCTGATGTGAGAACCAAAGTAGAAAACTTAGTCTTACAATTGTTTCTCTAGAACCCCTCCTGATACCAAATGTGATAGGCTGGGTTCTCTGGAAAAGCAAAGCCAGTGACATTCATATATATATATATATATCCATAGCTCTATACATAAATTACATCAAGAAAATGCTCACACACTTGTAGAAGTGGGCAAGTCTCGTTTCTGTCCAGGCAGGTTCCAAGTCTGTGGGCCAGATGTTCAGCTGAAGGCTTCTCTTGAGTCATGTAGCTTTGGAGGCTGAACCCAAGATGGGCAAGAAGACCGAGGCTCACAGCTAGAGGACAAGGAGTCCATGGTCGGCAGGTCAGAGAGGAGGCTGTTGATGGCTTCAGTCCAAAGTACTTGAGCTCATTAAGCCAGATGCCAGATCCGAACCCAACAGAGCGAGCATGCTTTCCAAGAGCCCATTTATAGAGGAAGCAGGTCATCCTACCTCGCCCCAGCCCTGAAACTTCCTTTCAATTGCATCAGGGTTGTGACCTGCGTCGGTGTGTTGCACCCCACCCTCATCTTACAACCAGATGGCTGCTCATGGCAGATCCCATCATGGAATTGATTCTGTTATGTTAGGTCACATCATGGGGGGCTATGAGGCCTTAACACTGCTACTCTGGGGCCTTTGGACTTGCCACTCTCTCTGTTTATGATGCTCTCCTAGCCAAGTACCAAGTACCTTCAGGGTCACTCTCTTTCACCTCCTTCCCATCTTTACTCAATTATCAACTTCTCAGGGAAGTCTTCTCTGGACAATTCACCCTCCAGAATCTCCTCCTCCACCACCACCAATGTGACACTTTTGTTTTCCCCAGAGCTCTTGCCACCTACTGGTTGAGGTTCTATTTTATTTATCATCCATCTCCCTCCACTGCAGCGCAAGCACCCGAAGGGTAAGCACAGAATCTTTTTTGCCCATTGCCGTTTCCTCGGTAGCTGGCACAGCCTCTGGCAGAATGTCAGGTGCTAAGCTGTTGTCACTGTCTATGACCTGGTTTTCTCCTTTGGTCCTTAGACGTGGATCAGGTGGGGCAGAACCAGAGAAAAGTGCAAGAAATGGAGGCGAGAGGTCAAGAAATAAAAGCACATGATAAGGGGGAGGGCACAGGCAAACTTGGGAAATGATGTGTGTGGCGAAGAGATAAGGAGTAAAGTGAAAATGGAGAGCTTTCTGATTCAGTAACAAAACTTGTAGAGTGGTGAGTGGATGCCAAGGAGGAAGAAAAATAAAGCTCTAGAATGTTCAGGAAATCTAACCTGAACGAGCTTGGACAGAAAGCCTGAATTCCCAGCTTTGGGGCTCCCTCCAGGCCTCTGTTAATGGCACCAGCTACTGGGCTTCAGGTTCAAGTCCAACCAGAGGCACCTCAGAATACAAGCCTGCAACGTGCTGCCCATACCAGCCACTGAAAACCCAGAGTTCTCTGATACACATGGGGTCTGCCCTTGGTCAGAATGAACTCCACGACAACTCGTTTTGTTCTTTGTCTTTTTCCATCCCACTTGCTTCGGTGCTCTTTTCTGTTGTCCAAGAACTGGAAAGAAGAGGAAAAGCTCCAGAAGAGAAAGAAGGAGGAGGAAGAAAGAAAGGAGTCCTCAGAGAAGGCCGGCGTGCTGGCTGAGGCTCTTTCTTTAGAGTTTAACAGGCGTTCAGAGCATGCAGGTTTCCACTAGTGCAAGAGATTCAGAGGCACATAAGCTGGACAGAGGGAGGGAGGAGACTGGACGGAGGAGGGGGAGGGAGGCAGAATGGGATGTTGCTACTGCAGATAACGAGACTCCCTAAGAGACCCCAGGCTAGGCAGGGGCACTCTTCTGCCTTCTGTCCCCAGCTCCGGGGATTTGTTCTTCTTTTGCTCTAGTTGTAGGTTTTTATTATCCTAACATTCTCCTACTCTTACCCAACACACACACTCCCTCACTGCCCTCGAGTTGAGTCTCACTCTATAAATCTTCATGGGAACACACACATACACACACACACTATAATAAAAGAATGTGACAGAGAGATGGTGTCTGACCTCCGGCTGCTCAGCAGGAAAGAAAGTCGCCCTGCACATTAGCCACATCACCTGAGGCCAATTTCTGTGAAGCTGAGGTCACACATGCCCCACCCTCTAACCTTCCGACTCACTGTCCCTCCTACAGCTCTCTTCTTCAGCTAGGCTTGATGGTACAATGCAGGGGCCATGCAGAACTTACACACAATACTCACGATTAAGGGGTTTATTAAGGAAGTTAACAGGTTACACGTGCCCAGGATACAATTGTTCAGACAGGACGGACTCTTTTCTGCCACATCTGCAGGCAGGCAGCTCTCTGGCCTTTGACCCCCCCCAGCCACATACCCAATGGCCTTTTCCCTGATTGTACAATGTTGCAAAAACCCTTTTAGGACAGCCAATACATGCCCAAAGGACACACTGCTCTGCCACAAGCCTGTGGGTCGGCAAACCTAGCTCCTCCAGTTATGTGCCTGGAGGCATCCTACTCTACAAGCCAGACCCCTGCCTGAAGGCACTAAGCATTTAGTTGCTCTGTGAGCTGGAAGTCCATTTTCTGTGTTTCATACTCTGGCTCTGGATTCTGCTGCTGCCACTCCTGCTCCAAGGCAGTTCAGTGCATGGGAATTTTGGAGTCCAAAGGACACACTCTACTTCCTGGGCCTTCACTTTTGCTGGTAATAAGATCCACTCCCCCACCCCGACTCCTGCTTCTAAGATTTTTTTTTAATATGGAATACTTCATGAATTTGCGTGTCACCCTTGTGCAGGGGCCATACTAATCTTCTCTGTATTGTTCCAGTTCTAGTATGTGTGCTGCCAAAGCAAGCACTAAGATGGCTCATTTTCATACTCCACAGGATGACAATCACAATGAACCTTGTTAGCAATCACTCACAGCCGAATCATAACCCGATCAGTATCTTCCCCCACCTTCTTACCCACACCCACCAGGAGCACACACAAATGTGGTTTAGTGGAAGTGACAAATACTGTGGCTAGAAGAGTCACATTCAGTAATCACTGCATTGCACACATATCTATATGAAAGATATCTTTCATAATTTTGAATTTTGTCATGTTTATGAAGATTAAAGTAAGGTATCTTTTCCTTTGAATTTGGTAACAAGGTTAGAAAAAAGGTCACTCCCTGACACTGAGCCCATCAAAATCAGCAAACAACAAATGTTTCTAGCCACTTGCCAAATAGTTCCAATTAAAAGGTGATATAAAGGGAAATAAATGGACTGGGAATATTTGTGAAACTGCACATAGAAACTAGGTTTTTAGACTAGAGAGTTTCTCAGGCTAAGCGTGGTGATCAATCAAGATATGTCCTTGGAAGTAGAGTGTATTTAATGCATAAGAAACTGTACACTAAATCAATCATTCCAGCCTGCACATTCATTCGGATTCTCTGAGGTGGACTGGATGAAGTTTCACTAAAGGAAGGCAAGGAACAAGAAGTTTTAGCATACACTTATCTGGTCCAAAGGAGATTCTCCTCTGACTTGAAAACACCGAGCCTGATTTTCTAGATATCCTTGAGCTAGAGGATGGAAAAGAAGACAGCTCTCCTGCTACAGGTAAAAATATCTACCTGAAAAAAATTAAAGTATCTGCCTTTGTCCTAAGTCTTTGTACACTAAGCCAACTTGTGGTCTGTTAATTGTGTGTAATTTGGGTTCTTTGAAGAGATGATCACCTCAAAAGCTCAGCGCTGAGCATGCATTTGTAAATCACACCAGGGAGAATGATCCTGTTGGCTGGAGATGTGTGTGTCTATCGAGAGATCCTTCAGTCTCTTGAGAGCTTGGGCACAACATACCACCTGTGACAGAATTCCTCACTGAGTCCTTCAAAGCCTACAAAGCCGGTCACTGACCAAGGGGCTGTGGGAAGGCTTATCAAGGTGTCAGGGGCTTGCCTGAAGCAGCTAGACTGTTTCTCCCTTTTGTCATCACTTTAAGCTGCAATCAAAGTGCAGTAGCCAAAAATCTATATAGGTGTACGTTACATCTGAAATCAGTTTAATAAAGCTGGCATCTGGTCACCAGTTTGCACCATCATTTCCAGCATGCATTTTCACACTAACCCTTCGTCTGAGCCTTCCTCTTTGTACAGCAGCACTGGATGCAGGGCGCAAACTCGCATCAGAGATGCGTGTGCCTCTCTCCTCCTGGTAGTCAGGGCTGCTCTATTCAGAGGCAGAGGAAGGGAAAGAAGATGATCAGGGAGAATAGGCCCGGGGCTTACCTTTCTTTGGAAGATACAACTAGCTGGATTCTCTTCTCTGGGGATCAAAACCTTCTCAACTCCACAGCTTTCCATCTCAACAGCAGAGGGCCTGAGTCAGACCTTTGGTCTTCCCAGGCAAGAGCATTTCATTCCATTTTGTGTGATTTGCTAACAATTTCCTTGCCTCCCCTACCTCTGCCTGCATCTACAAACTCCGAGTGGCCTCTGCAGCAGCCAAGGATGACTAGCTTGGCCTGGCCCTCACCTCACAACCTAGAGTCCTCTCATCACAGAGAGCAAGGCATCTGACACCCGGAGACCACCTCTTTTACTCAAATCATAAGAGCAAGGCCACTTCATCAGATTCCATCAGGTATTTCAAAACACACCTCCGTTAGGCAAGTGTCCCTCTCTAAATGCCACAGGGCAGTGTAAAATGGACAGAGTAATGAGACATATAAATCCGTGTCTGTCAATTGCAGGGTGGCTACAGAGATGTTTCCAGAAGGTCAACTTGAAGCTACAATTGGCCAGAGTTAGAAGGTCCAGGCCAGCGTCAGCCATATTGCCAGCACCAAAGAGGCAGTGGGGCCACCTGCTGGACGGCCTGGGAACTGCTCTGGCTGCTTGTGGGTCTAATTATGGCAAGACCACGATCTTCTTCTCCAGCTTTTGCTGCGGAAACAGGAAGTTTCTCATGATCTCATCCAGTTCTTCCAGGGCCAACTGGGCATGGAGCCTGGCCACATCATCCGGCTCCGAGCGCACCACGTGCTTCAGCAGGTGGTAGAGATCCTTGAGGACATCTCTCAGCACCTGGGCAAGAAAGACACAGTCATGGCCATCTGTCTGCTGGGCCAACATTTCACCCCACGGCCCTCTCCTCCTGTCTGAGGAGGCTCACAGGCTCCCTTAGGAAAGTCATGTGGCGCCCTCCAAGGGCGCAGATGCAGGTGAGATGGCCCCACCACATACGCCCAATCTCTGGTATGGAGACAGGGCTCCCTGTGGGTTTCTCATTCACACCTGCTACACAAGGGCCTTACCCCAGGTCCTCGTATAGGTCTCTCAGACTCCTTTCTTTAGTTCTCAAGCGTGGCAGAGACTTCAGAACCAGAGGCAGGCAGTACAGCCAGGACGGACCACTCCTCACTTCTCCCCCTAGTTCTCTGCCAAACCCTGACGAGGACATCCACAGATGAGGTCCTGGTGTACAAAGCCCAGGAGGCCGTTCCCTTGAACTTGGGTTTCATAAGTGAAGCAAGATGTGAGCAGACAAGAGACACGCACTGTGTGCCTGCCCACCATTCATTGCTCGTGTGGCAGCACGGAGCATTTGCCACGCACAGAGCCCTGACAGGCCTACGATGTGTAGGAGTTCAGGAAGACTCAAAAGTGGGGACAGGGTAAAATTTATCAGGTTCATGACTAAGCAAGTAAGGCACTCACAGCGTGCAGAGGGCACGCATTCTAGTCGAATCAGAAATTGCCTCAAGCCAAGAAAAGAAGGCAGGGACATTCAAAGAACTACAGTCACCCACGGAACCCTCTTCCTGTCTTTCTTACTCATCTTTCTTCCCAGCCATTGGGAACATAAAGAGAAGGAAAAGGACCGACAGCTCACAGTTCTTACTCCTTTGAGGCCTTGCTTCTTCATCAGTACGTCAAAGGAGCGCATGTGGTGTTGGGAGCATGTGCCCACTGGTGAAAGCGGAAAGGAAATAGTGGCGTGAGTTTGCTTTCTCGCAGCGCCTCCACTGCCCAAAGAATGAAGCATATCGGAATGTGTCAACTCCAGGACACAAACGGCCTCCTCTGGGCGAGTCTACATATTCGCTGAGCGCTCTTCTACTCTGTGCATTTTTAATTGGTCTGGCACAAAATGGAAATGGACAGTAAGCATCATGCTGAGAGTTTCCTGGTTTACTCTGCTCTGCTTAGAGTACAGATTAGCACGCTGAGAGAGAAAGACAAAGGAAGAAAGGGGAGAGCTTTATGTTCTGGTACCTTTAGTAGCATTTCCCTCTCTGCCTTTGGAAATGGGACTGCACACTGTAATTTTGCATTCGGCCCCACAAATTATGCCGACAATTCTCGGTGCTTCACGCCCAGTGTCATCACATGAAGCAGCTGATTCTTGTGAGCAAGCTTCAGAAAGATGCTGCCCAATTTCCGCCACCCAATTATCTCCTGGGTTTTCTCAGGGAACAGATGAGACACAACAGGAGCCAAGTCACCTAGCCCAGACTTCCAACTCTGAGGCACCCTCCCTCCCTACTGCCCTTTCATAAACCATCTTCAGGTAAGATTGGCAGTGTGAAAACGAAGGCCAGCTTCTGTGAAGAGGGTATTGCGCCACAGCTACTGCCTCACGATTACTCACTGGTTCAATAATTATTAAGGGCCTACTTCGTGCCCAGGCCGTGGGCTGGTAATAAAAAAGATGAATAATCCACAATCCCTGCCCTCTGGCTGCCCTGGCCTGGCTGGAGGCTGACACATACCATACCGTGTGCTCTGCACTGATGAGATTAAGGTCCATGATCTTGTGGATGCAGTCAGAAGGAAGTGATTCTGCCAGAGGGAGCAGGTAGGGGCGAACACCTCCCTAACCCCTGAGATGACCTTCATTCCGACAATCAGGGGCAACCAGTGAGTGGCACCAAGGAGTGGCTTCCCCTCTGCCCCAAATTGCCTCAAGTACGTACAGAGTCTACACAAACTTAACAAGGAGCCCCAGCAGCACAGTGGGCTATGTGCTAGGCTGCTGACCACAGGAGAAAGATGAGACAGTCTGCTTCCGCAAAGGTTTACAGCCCCAGAAACCTTAAGGAGTGGTCTCATTCTGCCCTATAGGAGCCCTGGCAGTCTAGTGGTTACTCGTTGGGCTGCAATCCGGAAGGTTAGCAGTTACAAACCACCAGCCGCTCCATGGGAATAAGATGAGGCTTTCTACTTCCGTAATGAATTACAATCCAGAAACTCACAGGGGCAGTTCTACCCTGTCCTCTAGGGACGCTGGGGAACATTAGAGTTACTAAGGGCTCCAGTGGTGTAGTGGTTACTCGCTGGGAACTGCTAAGTGCAAGTTCAATAGTTCAAAACCACCAGCAGCTCCAAGGGCGAAAGAGGCAGCTTTCTACTCCTGTAAAGAGTTACAGCCTGGGAAACCCACAGGGCCAGTTCCACCCTGTCCTATAGGGTCAGGAGGAGTCGGAATGGACTCAATGGGCATGAGTTTGTTTTATTGGTATAGGGTCCCATAGGGCAGACAGTTCCACCCAATCTTATAGGGTCCCTAGGAGTCGGAATGGACTCGATGGACGTGATCTGTTTATTTGGTATTGAGTCCGATAGGGCAGACAGTTCCACCCTGTCCTATAGGGTCAGGAGGAGTCGGAATGGACTCAATGGGCATGAGTTTGTTTTATTGGTATAGGGTCCCATAGGGCAGACAGTTCCACCCAATCTTATAGGGTCCCTAGGAGTCGGAATGGACTCGATGGACGTGATCTGTTTATTTGGTATTGAGTCCGATAGGGCAGACAGTTCCACCCTGTCCTATAGGGTCAGGAGGCGTTGGAATGGACCCCAGGGCAGTGGGTAACACTCTCATTAATGAATTACAGCTTCAAGGAACTCTTATATAGAAATCCTGCAGTTTCAACTGTTTATATAGCAGTCACCTCATCTCCCCGAGTCAGAAGTATCTGAAGAGTTAACTCTGACTTCTTAACAAGGAAGTTCTGAGGTATCTGTTCAGGTGTTCTGTTCCTTCCCGGTGTGGGTAAGAATTTATCCCCCACCAAGGCTGTCTCCTTAAAATAACACGAATGCTTGTGCAAATATCATTTCATACTCAAAAGGTGCTGAGTTCCTTGTTATCAGTTACCGGAACTCCCTTTTCAGGTAAGCCAGTGTTAAGCAAAGGCCCCTTCTTAATTAATGGGTCTAACTTAGCCACCCCCTCCACCTCCCCCGCTTACCACTTCTCCCCAATCCCTGTAACTCTGGGGATCCCACACATCACAGACTTCCTCTGGACTCCCCAAGGATCAAAGCTTCCTGCCAGCTAGGGATTGCCATCAAATCCCATGGATCAGGGACTGAATACAGGGAGAGTTCAAAGGTAAAGTTACTCCCAGGAGCCTCAGTGGCGGGCAGGATACCAACAATCCCACGGAGGAAGCCTCTCATTACGAGTTCAGCACACCTGCTCTGCTCCCCCACCACATCAAGGCCCAAGGACTCTAGGGTAGGGCTTCAAATCGGTTCATTCTGGCTTGTCCCCTCTGTACACACTCCTCCCACACACATCCCATCACTGCTGAGAAGTTGCCTCTCATGGACTGATTCAGTCTATCTGGGGTGGGAAAGCAGCAGGTAAGGTGGGGTGGGTACATCTCATCCAGAGGCCATCTGTCTGGTTTACAGCAACTGTTGTTGAAATAAACAAATGCACACCTAACGGTGGGCATCTTAGGGAAGTACCCAGATTCCTAGGCTGAAAACTCACTGGGAGGGGCTGAGGTTCAGGAGCTTTCCCTACACCTCTCCCACACCACCCACACCCCTCAGTCCAGGTACCACTTCAGCACACAAAGCTCAAGCTTCAGGGAAAAAGTGAGCTGCAGGATTAGAAGAGGCTGAAAAGAGACCACCTCGAGAGACTGGCAAGAGGCTACCTTTGCCCCCAAATGCACTGTGGATGGGCAAGCAGGAAGCCAGTTGCACTTTCCAGCCTTCCCAGAGAACACCCCAGCAGTGGTGGCGGCAGTGGCTGTGAGATCAAAGGGAAGCATAGATGGCAAACGGCTTTCTTCTTTTTAATTCCAATGTTTGTCGGTCTCTTGGGTGATAAAAGCAACCGAACCACAAGCCAGAATATCGGGAAAACAGGAAGAAAACGAACTTCCTTTCTATCTTAACTCTTCTTCTATCGAAAGTTATATCGGCAAAGACGTTTCCTAATGAGGAATATTCTTGGGCATTTAAAAAATATTGTTAGAAAATTCACATGTTAAATTTACCTGGTGTTAGAAATGGAACTCTGAGAATGGCCTGGCTGACCTTCTTGCTACAGTAGGGAGTCAGCAAGACAAAACACAAGGGGTCACAAACAAGACATTTGCAGACAGAGGGCTCAGAGACGACCCAGTGGAGGGCGCTCTATCTGTAACTCCGTAAGACCTAAGTGGGGAATGGCCTGCTCAATGCAAAAGAATGACAAAAAAGTGTTCAATGTTTTATGGTTCTTAAAAATTAAATCTATAGAATCAACAGATGAGGAAGAAGATAGATTAAAATAAAGCAAACTAAATTCTACCCAATGCAATCAACCACCAACGTTGTATTTGTTTGTGGCTAAGAAATAGGTATTGAGCACAAAAGCCAAACAAACCAGACCTGAGAAAGCACAAGGATTTTAGAGATTGAAATAAATATGAAATGCAAGTCGAGACTAGAGAACTGTTTCCTAGTGGCTGGAGATCAGTCTGGCAGTAAGATTCTCCAGATAAGGGCTCAGAAGAGAGAGTATGCCAGAGTCTGGCTACTTTACGAACCTGTTGGAATGAGCATTAGGTGTGGTGTGAGCCTTTCAGGAGGCTGGGCCTCTCTGCTAAAACCAGTCTGAGGGAAGTGAAAGAGACAAGACCAGGAATCAATACAGCACAGCTCCAAAAACACACTCTAAACCAGGAGACCCTGGAGGTGTTCCAGGTGACGATGATGGTGTTTGCCCCTCAGGAGCTCACCAGCCATGGGGAAAGACACACTGGGTCTGGAAGCAGGTGAGGGGTGAAGTGAATGAGGGA